TCGGCCTGCAGCATCTGTGCTGATGAGAACTTCAGGCATTAGTCACATTATTCAAACAAGTTCACCTCTCCCAAGGAAAGGTCAGATTGTGTCTACTGTGCACTGGCCTACAATGGGGAAATCACAGAGCTTTGCCTTCATCAGAAGTGGAGCTGTGGAGGTACCAAGAATGAATGCGAGAGGCACAACAGCTATTTCATATTCCTTCGCATGGAGAGGCAGGGACATGTCAAAAATCAACACAGGAGACTTTCTGTGTCTTCTCCTTCCCCTTTCATGCAGCCTCAGTCTGCCTAAAAGGCAGCATTATAGTAAAACAATATCCCAACTGTTCTTTAGGAAAGGACCAAACTAATGAGTGCTCGTATTCCTCGGCAATATTTCCCCATGAACAATCCATCTCCCACTGCTCCTGTGTCCCGCAGCTTGGTACTCTTCCCTGTTGTCCGCAAAGAACAAATGATATGAGGGTGGAAAAGGTAAACAGAGACATCTGTTCATGGCCATTTCTAACTAACACAATCTCCTACTCAGTCACGGGGGACAGTGTGGCTTCTGACAGTGAGTCAGAGCCAAAGGGAGAAGGTGTGAGAAGTGGCTTTGGTTTGGTCTACGGAAGAAAGCAGCTGTGACTCAAACACTGCATGCTGATCAGCTGGAATGATTTCTCTATTTCCCTCCTAAATAAAGGGGGATTTGCTCCTCAACCAGTCTGCTGTGGGCTGTTTGTTCTACACTGTGACTCCAGTAATCTAAATGCTTTACCACAAGGAGGTAAAAGTGGGATCCCTTTCAGAGACAGCAAAGCTACAGAGGTCTTAATTTTCTTCCCAGAAAATTTGCCCTTCTCTTTTCTCCAGTTGTGGAAAATACAGTACTTCTCTATGTCACAGTTGTATCAAGAAATAAGAGCTCCACACAAGACTACAATGTGCACATAACTAATCTGCATTTTTAGGGTAATAGTTTATTGGGTAACATATCTTTCACTTGGTTGGGGTGGCAATGGATAAATTTGCTACAAATCTAGTTTTGTAAGCAGCATGCAGCAGGAGGATATAGTGAATCTACTGTATCAAAAGGATTCATACATACACACTGGTGCGTCTTAAGAATTTGTCTATCATCTCTGAAAGCTGTATTTTTTGATGGGCCCAAGCCTCTAATTGCAAACATTTCCTAGAATGGTTCTGAAAATCACTTATTATTTTGGTCTTATTAGTGGGAGATGATTTACAACTGTATCTGAACAAACTGGCAGAAACCAAATGGTTCCTGTTTCGAAGCTGACAACAATATTATTAAAATAAAACTACAGCAAGACTATAGTTTACATAATTACTATAAATAGAGTTTTTTTCAAGATGGTAGTGGACTGATATATTTTCATTTTAAAACTAGCTAGATAGTGTGGCATATGCAGGGAAAGCCACTTGTCATGCAAAAAATTCTTTGTGTGGTGTAGATGAAGCTTTTCCTTAAGATTTATCTGGTATGTGATAGATGGCTTTGGTGGAAAGCCTATCAGAGTGAATCTCCACCATCACATTACTCAACAGACAGAAGGAAAATGAAGTGTGGTATCATTCACAAATTAATATTTAAACTGTACAAAGATCTGTGCAATGCATGCCTTGTTGTACTCTCCTGAAATCAAAGTGAGTTTTGCTATTGGCTCAAACAGTCCTTTTTCTCTTGAAGCACTCAGCACTGGGAAGGATATTGTCCTTTCAGCTGCACATGGAGTATCAGATATTTATGCATCAGTATCAGATATTTATGCAATATAAATATTATGAATGCCAAGAATAACGAAATATTTTATGCTGAATCAGTCCTAACTTATCTGAAAGCCTCTTGCTGCTTTCCGCTGGTCACTACGTGGAACTATTCCAGTGCTTCCATTCCCCTCTGTCACTGCACCCTTGCCAACAGCAACATCATTTCAGTAACTGTCCCAAGCCCTTCCCAAAACTCAGCCTGTGCCTCTGGCAGGCTGGGGCAAGCAAGAGGAGTTCAGCTGTTTGGGAAGCACTTGCTGGATGCTGCCAACAAACACAAAGGTAGTTAAGGTAATACTACAGTTGGATCTAATAAACAAGCCACCTGTGCTCCTGAGATCCAGTCATAATCTACTACCTCATGCTTTCTGTACCAAACAATGTTTGTCCGTTCTTTTAATTGCAAAAGTGATTTTAAGGCAGCTTTCAATCTTCAGAGGGCAGATAGTCTTTCTAGAGAGATTTCTGAAAGCCTTTGAACAGGCTAGAAGCATATAATGAGGCTTTCACTGCACAGAAGAATTTGCTCCCTGTAATAGTATTCATAGCTAAGAAAGTAAAGAGTGATAGAAAACTGTGGCATTTTGCCACAGCAGGATAATTATCAAATAAGGTGCACCTCAGCTAGATAGAAAACACATTATTTTCTATTAGTTTGTTACAGGCTCTCTTTAATGCTTCCAGAGCTATACTTTCTGAACACATACTCTAAAAGGTAGGCATTACTTTTTCTCCTGATTCATACCATGAATATGCTGGTTTTGGCTTTCTGTATTCTGTTACAGATTACATTTAGCATATGGAAAGCTTTTAAATAAGTATTACATAATATTGAATATATGTATTAAAAATAAACATATTCCTTTTGTTTCCATGTATGTGCTTTTCATTTTTTTCTTTCATGTTCTTCCATTTCTGTGTTTTTCTTGCACCACACTAGATCCTTTGTACTTAAAGCTAAACCCAATAACATCAGTCACTGCTGCAGCAAAACACTTTCCCCTAGAGTAAGATACAATGATGATGATGTAATGCTGTGGTTTCCAAATCCCAAGCCAGCTGTTACTGGTATGTGTATTCAAATTCACTGTTTCTGCACCCCTGTGATGGGCAAAAAAGCTGCACCTTGTGACTTGATTCAGTAAATGATTTATTATTTTGAATGTATAATTCAGAGACATAGCTTACGCATGGCTTCAGTCACAGAGTGAGGAAAATTAGTTTAGGCAGTTTCCTACTGTAAAAAAATGGAGAGGATGTAATCCATCTGCACAGACCCAGTAGGTATTTTCCACCAAGTAGCACAGAATCTGCTCACTGATTAAAGACTGAGGAAACAACAAAAAGCTGCCAATTTTTTACACTGATTCTTCTATCTGACATTCATACTAATATTCATATTAGTAACTCTGATATTCATACTAATTCCTTTATCTGCTATAAATAAGCACAGCTGTGTATCAATCCCCTAATCCAAACTGCACCAAGGTACCTATCCAGGTATTACAGACTACAAGACTTTTAGTTGAGTAAGAGTGGCAATAAAACTGCTGCCATGCTTAAGGATAGTGCAGGAAGCTAACATGCTCCTGTGGATGCTCTTCCTCAGTATCTGAGCATATTAGCTCAATAAATGAAGCAATTTCTCAACAGCTAGTCTAAAAAAAGAATACCACAGAAGTAACCTGAGAATCTATGAGAAAGCTTTTTCCACTACAGTAAGTTGCTTTGATGGGGCACAAAATCCATCTCTGCATATATCACTCATTTGCAAGGCAGAGTCCAGATACATCAGTTGACAGTCTTACTTTAAATCCAGTCTAAATCAGACCTCTCAAACTCTTAACCTAATCCTTGCCTTCTGTACTATGCCATCATGGCAATTTGTTTCCAGGGTTACAGTATCAATTTGCTCACACAAAAGCCAGTGTGAACAACTGCCCTGAATTTTAGCAGGAAAAATACATTCCTAGTGTAATTCCATTATCTGCATGGTCTTGCATCAGGGATGAATTTAGCTTATTAAGTTTTGGCAATATCTGATCAAGCCATAGTATCTTCATTTCTAGAATGACACTGAAACCACTGTGCTTCAAATCAACCATCTCTTTATGTACATTTTTCTTTAAATGTACTGACAGACAGAGAAATAAAGAGTTGGACTGGGACATAAGTTATCCAAATATTCCAAAATTCAAGGAGATTTCTTACAGCAAATAAAGGAATAGCCTTGGTCAGATACATCATGAATTCTTTAGAGAGGAGGTGCAATCATGCACTGAATGTGAGTCATGATTCACTGTATCTTTTGTAGGCAAGTAGTTGATAATCAATCCATACAATTTGTGCAATTACAGTTACAATTGCATCAATCAAGTATCTGCAATGTAGAAAGACCACTGCCAGTCCTTTCTCTGTGACAGGCTGACTTATGAAGCTGAGAAATGGCCCTGATGCAAACAAAAATTTTTCAGACTAATCCAGACCAGAAATACTTCAGAAAAATGAAAGGGTTGTATATAGTTTGTACAGATGAGCCCTTCTTCTGTAGGTCAGCTTGTTTAACTAGACAGGCTGCCTGCAGTGAATGGATGAGAGTTTGTCAAAGCCAGGAAAGGTGTGTGAACCACAAACCAGGCCATTCCAAATTCCCTCTTCAGGAAATGGTAACGATTTTACAAAACCTGCATAGCCACAGACTCTAAAATGGATCCAGGAAAGAGTGCTTCCCAATCTACTCCTGTGCCAAGATGTAACACTGTTCACAGATGGAAGGAGTTTTACTTGGTAGACAACGTTAGCATTAGGTCCCATCTAGTTCAGCTACCTACAGTGACAGATTAAAGGAGCTGAAGTGCTGGAATATTTTTGGGAAACGCAAGTACCTAATCCACTTTAATAGAACAGAGAAAACCCTAATATTCCCCTGACATAAAGTCATTGAAATAAATTGTGCTTCATAGATGTGAAAGTGTACTAATACTCTAAATGCATATCTGATAAATTATCTTTCCTTCATTAGATGGACATATTAAAGCAGTATGGAATTGAACATTGCTGTAGGGAATGACCAATCATTTAGAAGTGGAGCTTTAGCATTTTCAATGAAAAAATCTGAAACAGGTTTCATAAGAGCAAGGAAGATGAGAAGATAATTATTACTGTTGGTAGAGGAAGAACATACCTTTAATAACAGTTGTATAAAGTAGGTACTCTTACCAAGATAGGAAACTCCTTCTTCTGGTGTGATTGTTCCATATTTAACCATCATCTTCACAAAATCAATCAGGGTTTTCATGATAGTTATCAAGGTCTCTTTCTCTTTTGTCTCTGTCTCTGTGTGAGGCAAAACTAGTCAGATATCAGGCAACTTGGAAAAACTGTTCTGCAAACTGCACAAACTTCATGCATAAAGAATGACCTGCTCATTAAAAGGGAAAATGCTATGCTGGATTAGCAATGAGAACTTACATATGTTTCTTTTTAAACTGTTCCTGCAAAGTACAGATGAATATACTTTAAAATATCAGGGGCTGGTTCTTCTTTATAACTTCTGGTCTTGAGGGGCTGTGTCATGGAGGGCCAATGGTATTAATTCCATTTTACAGCTAAGAACATTAAGCACACAAAGATGTAGTGATCTGACAGTTCAAATTGATGGTCGGAGGGCTGATATAGGTAGAGTTTTCTACAGTCCATCATTTTTCTTTCATTTGTTTGTGAACTATTTAGTAGATCAGTCTGGCTCTGTATGAAAGAGATCCTTTCTCCTACAAGATCCATGGGTTCCATGACAAAAATATAAAGTGTCCCAAACAAGATTGTTACTGTGCACAAGTCCATTACTTGGGTACTGGGACAACATAGCATTCATGGCTGGGAGGATCATGACTTCAGAATAGCATACAAAAAATATTATTTTTTATAAAAATAATCAGGTTTTGCCCACAGCTGCTTCTTAGCTTTTCTTTTCCCACTGTGTTTTTGTGCTGAACAATATTACTGCTATTTCTGCATTAGCAGTGTGAAACTCCCCCATCACAGTCACACAAGCTCTCCCTGCTGCCCAGGCCATCGCTGAAGGACCCAACAGAGCCTGGGGCACTGTCAGTCAGGGACAGTCAGAAACATACTCCCGGCCTTGGCAGAGGGCCAGCCACTCTGGAGGGCTGCTGAACAGGCTTTTTATTGCTGCCTGCAATTTAACACACAGCTGTAGGATGCAACTGAATCCCTCTCCTCCAGCTCAATACAACCTGACAGGTGAACACAAAAAGCAGGAGATGTGCAGCCAGTGGACCTGGCTCTGTTTGCTTGATAACCTGTTAAACCCAACATGCCTGCCTGTGTTTTGAGTAGAAAAAGGAGAACTGGCATGCAGAATTGCCATGGGAAAATTAAAAAGAACAGGAAGAATATAAAGTTTGTAGATTGAGCAAAATATGCCCTCAGGTTTTTCATTTTAGCTCTCCACTTAGGTGCATATGGGGACAATCTGAAGCAACATTAATGCTTCTGCAGGACAAGGGATCTACAAAATACCACCCTCCCCCCCATCCTTCCACAAGTTAGAGAGTGTGTGTGTGGCTGCAGAGAGTGGGTGTGTGTAGAGGGTGCTGACACAGAGCTGTGGCAAGGAGCCACAATCTTGCCTGCAATAACTGGAAGGCAGTGATGTCCAGCACCGGAATAGGAAGAGACGTGCAGGGCTTTCACTGCAGTAAACAGCAAACCTGTGGTTTGTGGAAAGGCTGGGAGGCTCAGACTCATTTACTGGTACCATCAATGTGAGGATTCTGCTGTGGCTTACTCGTATCTCTGTTGGCTTAGATGACATGGATGTTACTGGAAAGATCTCTGGAGAAAACCATGTGCCAGTTTTTCATCATGTCCTTATGGGAATGAAAAGAATTCAGGACTCCTGAATCACACAGCACAAGATGGGAAGGGCTGTCTAGGTCACTCTCTCTGCAGTTCTGAGTGCTATTCCTGACAGTGTTTTGCCAACAAAATCACTAATCAAATTAGTTTCTACTAATTTCTGCATGGTCTCTTGCAACTAGGGAAGTTGTGGGGAAAAGAGCAGAAGAAAATAGAATATTTTTTATGACAAGCTCACCTGAGTTAAGACTTTTTAATAATGCATAAAAATTTGGAAAATATTGGAGATCTTCGAAATTATCTTCAGAAGGCAGCTCATTTCTTCTTTCTAGCACGTTAGATGATGACCACGTGTTATCCAGTGTATCATCAGCTTCTCCATTAATGAAACTATCCTGATCAGATTTGCTTGATGTCTCCACATAAGACATAATAAAAAAAAAGAAAATGTATATAATCACATTGCTTTTAGTGATAGAATTAATAGAGCAAAAATTTCTATCACAACCTCATGCCAACATTGCCCTAATTGTAAGGTGAAAGCTATACTATTTTCTCAAAGTTATTTCAATTGACATCTAGCTTAAATTTTGAAGTAACTCATGATTCTTTTTTCTATCAGACAGGATTTCTTTAAGAACACCTCCTTTCCAGATTGAACTAACTATTCCCTAAAGAATGCAGTGCTAGTACCATAAGATGAAATTATTAGCTAAGAAATTACCATTCTTTCCTGTTGCTTTTCTTTTGTATCACTGTCTGCTCTGCTGGCAGGGTAATCAAAATCTTCAGACTCCTTCTCACGATCCTTTGCTTCATTTGCAATTAGCTGTTGTAAAACCTCTGCCACTTCATCTTCCAGGGTATAGGCCTGACTCTCTGTGATCTGTTAAAATATTGATGCAGAGTACTTACAGAATACTGTGCTTTTTATTAATCAAACATCAATATGAAACCTGGTATCAATAAGAAAATAGGTTGCTGTAAATGCATTTGCTTCAAAGCTGAGCACGGCCAAATTAGGTGTAATACCTGTATGTGTGCATACATGTATACATATAGATATGTAAACATGCCTACATTTTTAACACTCATATTCATATACACATAGAAATACACATCAAATATATGTACACATAAACCACACCCATTCACACATACAGCCTTCAAACCAAATCTCTTTAAGACTTAACACAGTGGAGTGCAGCTTGAAAGATGGAGCTGTAAGTGTGGCACCTCCCTATATGTGTGCCCATATAGAAATACATATGCTCTGTGACACATCTATGGACAGCTGAATAATTACAACAGAATACAGTAATAAAGAATGGGAAAAAAGCAAGTAGCTTTCTATGATACCATTAAAATGTCTTCTCTTTGCTTCATAACAGCTGTCACTTGAACAAGAACATGCATCTGTCCCACAGCTCCCTCTGTAACCAGTGGGGTGCAATACCCAGCTGCAAAATCTAGTGCTCAAAAGATAAGGTGAATATTTTAAAATATAAGGATTCCAAATGGCAATGGCTAAAGCCATTAAGACATCCAGAGGTCACAGACAAATCCGGTCTTCCTAAAAGTCAGTAATGCAATATATCTTCAACTAGCCAGCAACAGTACGTGTTTGCTGATGGCATTAATTAGCATTAGGTGGATAGGAATGAGTGCAAACCTTTCCCCATTAAGTATAGAAAAGAAATTCATAATAGAAAAGCACTCAGTAAAAATCAGAAGACAAACTAAAGGAAAAATGAGGACAGACATGGGAGGAGTACAATCAGTGAGTGTTTTTTCAACATCAGAAACATTCTGCAGTTTGGCCTATTTTGTTGCAAAGACATCACAGGAACAACAATGTTATTGCAGAGCATAACCAGAAAACCCAAGGATCTCTAGAAATTTTCTTAGCCCTCGAGTCGTACTTGCTTCCGACAAAGTGTACATTCGAGTTGCTTTTTGAAAGAGCATTAATCCAATCCAAAAAGCAGTTGAATGATGATTACCAAGATACTTACTAGCCCCAGATTTAGAAGTTTTGAAACAATCTTGTCAAACACTCCTCTGTCATTTTCCTCATAAATTCTTGCAGCAATTTTTTGAACAATATCTTCAGCAGTCAAAGGAGTGCCATCTAATTGATGAAGGCCATCTGGATCATCTGAAAAGATTACAGTTTTACTGTATGCTGACCCCCCTAACTCATTTAGATTAAACAGCTCATAAAAAATATCTGCCCATATATTTTTCTCTTCAGAACAAAACTGCATTTTTAGACACATTAGGAATATACTTTGATACACACTTTGCAAGCCATTAAATCAGTCACAGGGAAAAGTTCTTTGTGTCAATTTTCCACATTTGAAAAATGTCTTTCTGACTGGCTCTTCTGAAGGAGCAAAGATGAACTTTAGGAGCTTACTCTCCTGTTTATAGAAAATATTGGTAGAATTTCCATATCCATTTATCTGTGTCTTCCTTTTCATTGTATGGCCACTTAGATCAAAACAGTTCATGACAAATAGCACACAATCTTGTTTGAATTTCAGCAAATTACCTTTTAATTATGTAATTATTACCTATGGAAAATAAGATCATTGTGGCAATGGGAAAGGGAATATGAGTGAGCTTTGGTCTGTGATCAGCATACTTTGATATAATTAAAAATATCCTGAGCTAAATGCTACTTACAATTCTCAGAGGAGTCACTTAAACTACAAGTCAATTAACTACTACTGTAGCAAAGGCAAGTATTCTTTGGCCTTTAGTAATTTCTTCTAGGTTTGTGATTACGAGAATTATCTAAAACTGCACATAATATTTGGAATAAATATATGTGATTTAGCTGCATATAGAAATGCTTCTTTCTCACAAACCAGAATAAATATATTTTCATTCAAAAATATGTCCCATTTTCCTTCCATCAAATATAAATTGCTAAAAAACATTACAAATTACACAGTCAGACTTTCCTCCACGCAAGTCTATTAAAATCAAGAGCAATTCTTTTGTACTGTGTTCCAAAAACCTAACTGTAATACATCAATCTTCCACAATTGAAAATAATTGAAACTGCACTCCAGTAACAAATAGATCTCATGTTTAGTGGTGAACACAACATTCATGAAGGCAATCAGTTTGCAAGAGAAATCTAACCTAGAAGGCACTGAAAGATTATTATAGAATACCTTGGAATTTATAATCCAGCCCGCTTTTAGTGGAGTCATAGTCATCCACAAGCCTGCGGTTCTTGGTGGAGTCTGCATCATCAATGGCCAGTTGCTGTTCGTACAAAGAGCTTCTAATTGACTCCCTCTCCTTCTCATTCCTTTCTCTTTCTGCTACTGATTTGAGCAGGTTCAGGTCATCAACAAAGGAGTAATTCCTGAACTCTGGCTTATTTTCTGGAAAATGTATCAATATTAATATCAACATAACATAAAATCTTATACCTCTTCGAATACCAGTATGAATATTGCCATAAAACCAGGAAAGATATTTTACCTGTGGGAGTTATTTTCCTATTCTTGTCTGCCTCAGCTTCAGCAATCTAATATACAAAAATAAAGCAAACAAAACAGCAAACAGGTAGAAGGAACAAAATGTGATCTCTTCATTTATCAGCAGAGAGTTTAATGCCTGATTTTCACTCTCAGTAAGAAGTTTGCCTGAATAAGTAGAACAGAAATAAGCACTGGACACTTTCATCAGTACCACCCATCCTCTGATCAGAACAAGACATTATGAGAAGCTGCAACAGACTTTCCATTTTAAGATAAATGCCAGTTATATTTTCCTTCTTCATTCCAAGCTCATGCTATATTCCCACAGGATGTCAATAGAAAGGGTTGTCACCTTTGTGAGCTGTTGGAGCTAATGAGCTGCTTTTAGAATGCTGGACAGTGAAAATCTACATGCCAGTTTTTAAAAATTATTGAAACCCTATTTTGTATCTAACCCCATCAATAATCACTTTACTGACAAATCATTTTTTTACCCATTCATGATATTCATAGATCCAGTACCCAAAAGACTAAAAATATTTATAGGAATTCTGTTAAAAAAAAAAAAAAGAAATATTTTTTATTTCACTCACCTGTTCCTCCAAAGGTCTTTCTACACTTAACTGTCTGTTGTGTATAGCTTTATCTAGAATAAACATACACACACAAACATATATTCAGTTATATGATAAATGCAACTACAAAGAGACAACACATTTTTTCTTAATTTATAGTTTTCTCCCATAAAACATGGTGTCTTAAATAGGATGCCAACTGCTAGCTCTTGAAAAAAAGAATTTCAGTGTTCCTAGAGGAATGAGAACACAATAAAAAAAGTCAAACCTTTAAACAGAGAATTATTGGGGCAGAGGGAGAGGTTCTGCAGAAGACAGAAATACAGATATAGACTCAGCAACCTCTTTCTGATCAGAAAACTCACGAATTGGGAAAAAAAGTGCTGGAGGAGATTGACTAAAATAGCAATAATCGGATTCGCACAGCCAAGAGATTAAAAATCTCTTCCATCCAGAATACCGCGGGAGACCGGGAGCAAGCAAAGACTTGTGCAGACACTGCTGTAGAATGGATGAAAACATTGCTTGAAAAGACTGAAAAAATTCAGAGCTTTTCCCTCTACCAGCACCTATCCCTCCACTTCAACATTAGATCGCAGCTTCAGCGATCGGCGTCTTGCACCAGGAATATCGTTGCTTTAGAATCTCATTGTTTTTAGCCAAGCGGAGGGAAAGTTTTTACCATCCTCCATCTCTATCCCGCAGAACTTTCCCCATCCGCGGCAAACTGCGAGAAGGCTCCGGGGCGGGCGCTTACCTGTGCCCGCGGGTTTGGGGAAGCCGTGCCCCCGGCTCGCCAGCAGCGCCAGCACCTGCAGCGCGACCGCCAGCCCGAGGAACATGGTGCGGCCGCGCAGCCCCGCGCCGGGGCCTGCCAAGCTCCGCCGCCCCGGAGCCGCCGGCCCGCCGGGCGCTGTCCGGCCCGCGGTGCTGAAGCTCGGGGAAGCCGCTGCCCGGGGCTCGGCCCCTCGTCCCCGCGCCCGCAGAAATGGTCGAGCCCGGCCCCGGCGGCGGCCCCGGGCACGGGGAGGAGCGGGGGGCGGGCCGGGCCCGGAGCATGCGCGGCCCCTCGCTCCGCGGGCACGGCTGCGGGCACGGCGGCCGGGCCGGGGCCCAGGGACGGCTCCGGAGCGGGCCCGGCACCGCCAGCCCGGGCCGCGCCCACCGGGCCCGGGAGCCGCGCTCGCTGCACGGCTGAGCGGGAGGGAAGGTCGGGCAGGGGGCTGTGAATCACTGCCTGTCACCTGCTCACAGCCTCTCCGAGGGGCTGAACAACACTGCAAAGGCACAGGCGTCAGTGACTCCTCTTACGGCAAAGAGAGGACGGGGAAAGTTTAATTATAGCACATCCTGCTCTTTAAAATTTAGGATTTAAAAAAGCAGTGGCACAAATGACAAATAAGCATGTAAGCTATTTCTGAACGTTTCCAATATTAAAATTTAGCCCTTTTAGACTCAGAACACCAACAAATCCCTAGGGATCGAAGGAAGACATTTTCACCAGTTCGCGGCAAACAAAGGATCGCAGCGGTGGCCTTTTTCAGAACTACAGAAGCCGCTTCCAAAATAAACCACAGTGTTCTTTCTTCAAAAAAGACCTCATCGTTCTGTAGCCACAAATGCATACACTCATGGAGAAAACGAAAATACTTAAACATTAGAAATGCCAGTTCTTGCTGACTGCTAAAAACGGCTAAAAACTGTTTTTTGAGGAGATGAAATGGACCAGTGCTTTCACAAATGAAAAGCAGGAACACAGGCAGACGTTTCATTCCTTTATCAATGAATATATACACAGTATTATAGCATAAACTGTGAAGAGCACACAAAAAGTAAGAGAATGATAATTTGAAACACAAGCACTAAAATGAATTGCAATTTTTTCCCCTGGGAGCCACTGTACATCATAGTCAACACTTTGCATATAATTTTGATAAAGCGATACTCTAGTTTACATCATATTCACTTCTATAAATTAGTCTTCAACATCCAGAGCAAAAAAAATAACTTCCAGAAATGTACTGATAGTCCCAGAATCCCCACTTATCACCCAGTTTGGTTCTTGGAGCTGAGCCAGAGTTAGGAATTACAGGATATTTTGAATAAAATCCTTTTAAGCATAATTGTATGTAAGAAGAAAACAGCCTTATTTACACATTGCTTGGTGATCTACAAGGAAAACTATTATAATAAACATATCTTTCGCTCATTTTAGAAGCACAGAAGACAAGCAGCTGCCACAAGGAAGTGTAACCTCCTCCCCTGCCGTCTTCAGCAGAGGTGTATGTACAGCAACAGGAACCTCAAAACTACAGAATAGTGCTGATAAAGAAAAATGAAAAGATCAATTCTTACTTCAATGTGGCTTTATATTCTCTCCCAGTCTGGTATTCATTCAACAGCCTGTGTAATGTCTTCAATGTAACAAAAACGTGTACTTTCTCCTCAGCTACCCTTCCTGAGATTTACTTCCATACCACTCAAATATTTTCCACAATGCGTTGTAAAAGTGCATCCATTGCTAAGACTCTACACGTTTCCCATTCAGTCAAAACAAAAGCAGTGAATGTATTTTAAACGTGCTGAAAGGAAAGTGTTGGTAAAGACCAGAAAAGGAGCTCTAATTAAAGAAAGCAGCATGAAGAAGGTGCAGGTCAAAACCATGCTTGTTTGTGTGATGTGTCTACATATGGCTTTTTGGGGATAATGATACATCTAATTGTCTTCAAATGTGTTTATTTTACAGGATATCCTTCTGTTTATGTGATAAATATTTCTACTTCTGTGAAATCTTTTCTACATTATTTCTCAGATCCATATGGTTCATTTCTTTAGTGCTAGAATGTCTCCTGCTTTGGCAAGACTCTCTAACAGGGAATGATGAGAAGGACAGGGCAGGGACTGGGACTGATGGTGGGGAGAGAATTCCAAACCTTCCATCACTAAAACTTCAGACACAAACCCTTTCCCTGTTCATGGGCACTGCCAGCCCAGCTGCAAGCACAGAGCACACTGGCACTGCCCCCTCTGCTTTGGCACACAGAGCCTCCTGCTCCTCCGAGGTGCCCTGGTGAGCTTGTGTGACATGTGACAGATCATACATAATCTCTGCTAATTATGACAAAATAGGTTTAATCCTTATAGAAGAATGATTGGGTAAGAGTGCTGTATTTGTTTCTCATTACACCTGTTTCATTTGGCATCCTTTACATCATCTACTACTACACACTCCTCTGCAGTGCAGAGACAACACAGTGAAGAGCACAAGCTCTTCTATTTTGGATTCTGTTTTGGCTCATACACAATCAACCCATTTTCTATTCTGGAACTATTTATTTCCAGTGATGTGAAATGAGCCAGAAAGAATACCACTTGCCTATCAGTTGCCAAAGAGAACTCAGAGGAATGACAATTAGAATGTTTCTTGATGTGTGAGAGCAGTTGATATGAAGCGTAGAGAAATAACTGAAATGCAGCCTTTCAGTGTTATTTTTCAAGTTGTTTTATAACCACACTTCAAAGTTTTTCCTCTAGCTGATGAAAAAAGAAGGCAGATGAAAGCAGGAAAAAGGCACAACAAGCCACCTTGCCAAGTTTATGCCTTGATGGTAGACTTTCCTTACTTCTGTGGATTTGCTTTTTCTACTTTATCTAATATAATGCAAATGATATACGAAATAACACAGTTATTAAAAGCTTAAAAGGAAAAAAAGTGTTGGAAGAGTTACTGGTGATCTTTATGTAAGGCATTAGGTGTATCTATAATCATCTGACAGTAAGTCATGTATTTTACACATATCTGTGCACTAGGAATAGTCCTCTTGATTTCAATGCAATCATCAACAATTAACCAGACACAAGCCTGAGGGTTTGTACTCTATGAATTGTTTTACACACAGCATTTATTTATACACCACCTAAGGCAATGAGAAGGATTTAAGACTCTAGAACCATGAAAAATAAAATAAAAAAGTCAAAACTAGAGTGTTTTGAGCATTTATCCAAGTTACATGAACTTTACCAGCAGCTTTTCCTATGCTTATTAAACTTATATTTTTGGTCTGCAAAGCTTATGAGTTTTTCATGCTTCTCCAGTGTAATGTGATGTTTTCACATGAGCAGTTCTTAACTGAGATTTTCTTAACCAACTCATTTTGTAAAGTGAACTTTAAAAACTACTAGCCCGTATCTTTCATCTCAGCTTCAAGGAAATGCCCACTTTTAACACTTTTAAAAATAGTGATCTTTGTTTTTTCTTATTGAGCTTTTCTCTTTTTCAGATAATAAATCAGTTTATAGCTTTGCGATCCAGCATGATTTTCTGTCTAGATGTATGTAGGAGATGGAGGGATACCTTTTCATTGGAAACACATTGCTTGGAAGGGATTATTTCAGTTTCTTCCCCACCCTTTCTAGAAAAAACCCTCAAAATGACCTTTGAGCTGAAATACAAGCTCCCTGGTGAAAACCTTCCCAGGAGGACAAAACGCTACCAGGTTTGCAGGAATCACCTCAGGATCAGCCCTCTGGAAGCCTCTCAGCCAGCACAGACCTCCTGATGTTCCCACCCGTACATCAGGAATAATATTTTTCATAATTGGGAGGTTTAGATTGGAAGAATTTCTTTACAGAAAGGATTTTTAGATAATGGAATGGGCTGTCAAGGTGGTGAAGTCACCATCTCTGAAAGGGTTTAAGGAAAATTGGATGTAGCACTCAGTGTCCAGTTGACATGGTGGTGTTTGGTGAACTCAATGGCCTCTGAACCGAACGGGTTCTTTGCTAAGCTGCCACACGCTGCTCTTTCGAATCCCACTGAAATGTCTTTGTTTCGAGATGCTGAAGGCAGGAGCCCCCTCCGGCCCGGGCCGCGCTCCCTCAGGGCAGCGCTGCTGCGGACGGCTCCGTGTCCGGCTCACCGCAGGCGCTGCCCCGCTCCGAACGCGGGGCTCCAGCTCCACCTCCCGGCCCAGCCGCGCCCGGGGCAGCGGCTCCACCTCGCCCGGCTCTGCCGCCCCTCAGGGCGGCCCCGCCTGCCGCCCCGCCCCGGAAAGGGCCGCCCGGGCCCGTCTCTTCCGGCAGCGCTGGGTCCGGCATGAGCGACGTGGTGGAGCGGACGCTCAGCGCCCTGCCCGGGCTGCTGGGGCAGCACGACCCGGGCGGTGCCGGCGGCCCCGCCAGGCTGTCCGCCTCCTCCCGGCTCGGGAGCCTCGTCCGGAGCATCACGGCGCTCACCTCCAAGCACGTACGGGCTGCGGGGCTCCTCTCCCTTCCCGCTCCGGGGAAGCCGGCGCAGTGCTGGGCTGGGGGCCCGGGGCGTGGCGTCTCCCCTCGGCCTCGGGGCTGGGTCGGGCTGAGCTCGGGAGCCCAGGATAAACCCCCCGATAAACTCGCCGTGTTTGTGGGTGGCCGCGTTCTGCCGCTCCGGGCCACGGGCTGGGCAAGCAGGGCCGCTGTGCTGGAGGCGAGCGGCCCCGCGGTGAGGTACACACTGCCTTACCGCCGCTCCCCCGAGTCTTCTTTCACATGGTCCCTGTGAGATCTATGTCAGGTTAAAACAAGTTTAATTTTTCCAGGAAGAAGAAAAATTAATCCAGCAGGAACTAACCAGTTTGAAAGCAACAGTTTCAGCCCCCAACACGACACTTGTAAGTTTTGGTAGTGGCTGCAGGCTGTGGAACAGCACACCGAAGGTGGAGGAAGCAGTGCTCTCGCTCTTTTATGACAGGTGGATGTGCAGGTTATCTGCATTGTAGATATTTAAAAGTACCAATACACATGGTTTTGCAGCATAATTAAAGCAGTGAGAGCACTGTTATTCTCTTTGATGTGAATAAGATGTAACAATATGACCCTCCTGTCATTCTGTAGTTTCTGAAACAATACAGAAAGCAAAGCTGAGTGATGAACTGCTGCCATCAAATAATGCTCTTTGCAGGCTGACATTGTTCTTACAATTAGTTTGTGCTCTTTAAGAAGCTGTGCTTCTTGTTGTATGCGCTGTTGTCATGTCTGAGTTTCAAGAGATGAGGTATTCTGGTTTGAGTTAGTTAATACATATGTCAGTCCCAGTGAAGATTTTTGAAGGGGAAAAATAAAGTTTTATCTTGCATGTAGTGAGAAACTATCCTAAGTCAGGGTAGTAAATGATAAAATAATTTGTATTAACAGTGTGATCATCATATTTTTTTATGTTGTCATAGTTTATCTACTGTTGATCACATGCATGCTAATCAAAATAAGAATGTTTTTAGGGGTGGAATAGGGGGAGTTCTGCCTTTTTAACAGAAATTTAATACTGCTTTGCAGAAGAAGTTCATGGCAAAGAAAAATTATGAATATTGAGATTTTAGAAAGCGTGTGAATAGACGTGTTTCTGTTGTATTTCAATGTGTTTTCTAGGCGTGTTTCTATGTGTTTTCTTCTATCAGAGAGATAAAGCTCTCTGTTCCAGTAGAGCAGTGAAGAAGAGCATAAAACATGTTGGACTTAAAATTTTTAATAATTTTTTTCTGGTATTTCAGAGACTGATGAAAGAGTGCATGGTGAGGCTCATCTATTGTGAAATGCTAGGCTATGAGTCTTCGTTTGGATACATCCATGCAATCAAACTTGCCCAGCAAGGGAATCTTCTGGAGAAGAGAGTTGGTATGTGCATGGAGCTGTAGCCTTTATAATGTTCTCAAACTCCCAGTTTTAAAGTTTTTTAGGATTTATAATTCATGTCAAATACAACCTACTCAAAATCTTTGCTTTCTTGGTCTTGTTTCACAGTGTGTTTCTTTTTGAAATGATCTAAATCCTTGGCTTGTGAGGTGCTCTGTGTGTGCTTGCAGCACAGAAGGAAGGGGAAATGAATTTTTTTTGAATCATCGGTTCTTTCATTGTTTTGAATTGTGACACCAGTAAACAATTTAAGAGAATATTTGTTAAACACATCAAGCAGAAAATGAATTTCTGTCAAGATCTGGTTTCTTTTCCAAGTACTGATGCAATATTAGACAAAGATGGTTCTGTCAGACAAATGTTTTCTGTTTTGGTATTTTTTTCTTTATTTTAGAAAGAGTTGTAGGGAATAAGGCAAAGAGGGAGGCCCTTACAGCCTAGAGGCAGAAGTTCCCAAAGAAGTCTTAGAGGCTGGTTCAGATTTATTTGAAATTTCACGGGATTGATTTCCTTTCCTGCTAGTGTGGCTATTACTTCAAACTACATCTGTTGGAAACAAGTTATCTGTCAGCTTATCTCACCCATAGAATTTCCTTGCAGTTGCTGATTCAGCTGCCTGGTGAAGACATTTCTTCTTGTTTGCAGAGAAAATGGTTTAACTCCAAGCAATACCATGTCTGCATGCACAGAAGGAAGGCAATGTCTTGTGGGATATGCTTGTTTGATATCCTTTGTTTGAATTTCGTCCAGATCATCCACTCAAGTATTGGAGTTTCTGAAAGAATCCATTACAAGTGATGAATTAAAGTTGCTTTTCCCTGGGTAATGAAAGCCAGTGTGCACATGGTGTGGTAGGGATTACAAAATCTTGTCTTTACCAAATCTGGGAAGGCAAGTGATCAGCTGTTCTGAAGAAAGCTTTGTGGCTTCTGTAAGTGTCAAGAGCCAGTGTGTCTTGTTATTAATCAGATTGAGACCTTTCCTTTCTAGGGCTCTTTTTGAGAAAGGTTTGGTGAAGCAGCACTTTTTTGTTTTTGTTTTTAATGTAGGTTGCTTAAAGTTCTCTGGACACAAAGAGCCCTTAAGCTTTGAGCTGATAAAAGGCTGTTATCAGAGATGTGTGTGTGTTTTGGTTTCTTTTTTTGTTGTTGTTCTGCAATTATATGTGATACATGAGAGTGATCTTTTCAGTTCTTGGTGCATTATACCAAGATTTGTACTGAGGAATTGTCAGTTGAGCTGGTCAAGATGAGTGACTCCTGTACCCAGTGTGAGCCTTGATTCAGGAGAGTGAGCTCTCCCTTTGTGTATGTGCTGAGCTGATGATGGCCATGAGCATAAGCAGATAGATCAATCTGATAGCCCAGCCAATACAGTTATTTATTTTCAAGTTGTTCATTTTGATCCCCAAGCTCTGTATGAACCAAGAATTCTCTAAAATCTGTCTCTGAGGTACAGTTCTTGCTGTTTTAGCACACTCTCCCTACCCCCCAATTAAATCCCTTAGTTTAAAAGCAGAGAGGGGGCCTTGGAGAAAAAAAGGTTTCTTTTCCTCGGTTCTGGAATGGTTTCCTCATTGTTAAGAAATAAAAAGGAGTTCTTTGCATAGGATGGTGGATCTACTTTTGTATATTCCAAGTTTAATATGAAGAGTAATTTTATTATTTGAAAAAGAAATAAAGTAACAAGATACAAGGAAGTGCACTTGAGTTGTGTAGTCTAAAAGTAATAGACTTTTCCTTGTTCAGAGAAGACATTAGCTTTCCAGGAGGTGATTTGTAATATAATGGAGCTCTTGACTGTTCTTTAGATGTAAAAGTATTGTAATATCTCTTATTTCTCACAGCTTATGAATTCTTACCTGTTACTTGTTGCAATAGCTGTTATTATTTACTGCATTACTATATTATTATATAATAATAATAATAATTATTATTAGCTGTTGCTGTTTACTGCAACTTAAATGTAACTGATTTTCCTGGAAAAAGACAGTCTTGATATTTCAAACATGAGCCACTTATCCAACAAAGATTTTTCTGTTGGGTTTTTGTAATTGTTTGAGTTAACTCTTCCTGTGTTACAGACATTCTTAAAGTTTCCATCGGAAAATTGTTATTGCTTGAAAACAGTAATGAAGGCTGCTTTCTTTTATAGGTTACTTGGCAGTTTCTCTATTTCTACATGAAAATCATGAACTGCTGCTGCTACTTGTGAACACAGTTGTGAAGGTATAGTGCTTTTGTAAAAAAAGAAAAAAAAAAAAAAAAGATAAAATCTTACAGGCAGGGGAGGCTGTTTCCATGTGCCAGGAGATGAGCCAGTGGGGAAGAAAACCTGGTTGGACAGAGAGTGTTGGCTGGAACTTAGTGGGGAGGCTGTGGGGTGAAGAACTTAGACCAGTTTTTCCCATTTTGTCACACAACATCTAATTCCTCCCTTAAAACTGCTGTTTCTCTCCCTTAGATATTCCTCTCTTAAATTTTCCTCTCTTAAAATTTATTCCTCTCTTAAAATTGCCGTTTCTTTGATTAGCAAAGACAATCAGAAATGGTTTTCCCTGGCTTTTTAATTTTATCTTGATATTCTTGCTCTTGAAGCCATATTTTAAAAAGTTTTTTCAGAGGAGATATGCCATAAACTTCACTTTATAAATGTAATAATTGCATACATTCTCAACTCCAGGAGGAGCCATGCATGCATATTGCAGTGTTAGCTTTGGCTTTTAACTGATGACAAGTATCTGTTGCCATCTCTACGCTCATCTGATGACTTTGGCAGAAAGTGGAAATACATTTTGGAGTGCCAGTGAAAATCTATTACTGCTGTCTCTTACATGGAGCAATCATGACTTATTATAACTCTTTCTGTATAATGTCTACTTTTATATTGCAGTAGACCAAAGTCCCAGAAATTATAGATTGAAAATTATGCTTATTTTGTTGCTGTGACTGAAAACTGTTTTATGATATTTAAAAATATGGCTTGAAACTCACAAAGAACTAAGCCAAAATCAAGACTGAAACTTATCTGGGAAAGATGAACAAAGCAAGTTATATCAGCTGGAAATCTCACACATATAATTAGTTTTGAAAAATAATTGTAGTCTTCATAAATTCATCCTTTTTTTTGTTTAAAGTTACAGTGAGCTATACCTACTATATTTAATTGTATTTAGGACAGACTGAGATTGTTTTGTAGAATGTTACTTGTAATGTGCATTTGCTTCTTAAGAAGTAGGTAATATTTTAGTGTACAGATAGGTAATTGGCAGTATTATTGAGCTGCTCATTTTATTTTAAATTCTTTTGGCTAGGTCAAAAGCAGTAGAGACAGTTCTGTAGAATTCTGTGGGAAGTGACTCATCTCCCTGATCCAGACAGGGACTCAACATATTTTTACAATCATTTCAATAAACAAAAATTGATTGTAGCTCTGCATGTTAGTGTTCCACACATTTAAAATAGGAATGAAGTTCTGTAAGATGAGTGTGAGGAGCTGTCTGTTCTCTCTTCCTGTGTAAGAGAAGATCCTGATGAGCTCAGTGAGAGCTGGCTCCTCTCTAACTCCAGCAGGATGCTGGCTGTGGGTGGGTTCTCCAGGGGGCATAGGTCCAGCCTGCTTGTGAAAGATTTGGGGGATGTCTGTGCAGAATTTAAAAGTCTTAAGAAAAAGGTTATTGTCTTTTATGTAACAGGACCTGCAGAGCACTAATCTTGTAGAGGTGTGCATGGCATTAACTGTTGTCAGCCAGATCTTCCCACGGGAAATGATTCCAGCTGTTCTGCCCCTAATAGAAGACAAGCTTCAGCATTCTAAGTATGTATTCATTGCAGAATTTCAAATGGCCTTGTGAAGCTGAATCACTTAATTTTGTAAATGGTTTTAGTAAACTGGTGTTTATTCTCTCAGTTGGTCTTTTCTAATTATCACCTTTAGAAATTAATCCTCTCCTTGTGTTTTTTCTTGCATTCTTGTCTCATTTATTTGCAGCTTGACTGAGTATTGAATAGACAGGTTTTTTTTCATAGCCAGTGTGGATAGGTAAATATAATTGAATTTATTTGCTGGACTCCTTTTAACCAATATGCATGAAGAAATATTTGTAGAGTAGGTGGGGAAACAGATCCAGATCCTTGAATTTCACTGATACTTATTTTCATAAAGCTCTTTAGAGAAAGTGATAAAGGTGTATCTGTGGATACCCTTGATTTGTTTTAATTGTAGTTTACTGTATCCCATAAATAGAGGAGAATCTGTAATTGTTGATTAGAAAGGGAGTTGCAGAATGAATTAATTCAGTAATTTCTAGACATGTAATTTCTGGAGCTGCATCTGTGACCACAGCAGATGAGTCATGGCCTATGTCATTGTTTATTTGGTGGACATTGTTTTAAATCATCACTCTGAATCCATCTGTACTAGGCTTTAAAGTTGGCAAATCATGATGTTCTGGGGTCTGGCAAATTTTTTTGTAAAGTCAAGTACTTACAGTACACTTGTTTTGTTAAGTGTAAATCTCATTTCAGGGAAATTATCCGAAGAAAAGCTGTTCAAGCTTTATATAAATTCTATCTCATTGCTCCTAATCAAGTTCAGCACATCCATGATAAGTTCCGGAAGGCTTTATGTGACAGGGATGCTGGAGTCATGGCTGCTTCTTTGCATATTTATCTGCAGATGATTAAGGTAGGCAAAGAATTAGAAGCACAACCAAATTTGGGAGATGTTTTTCATTTTCAATACACAGTGTGCTCTGCAAAGGTTTTGCAGGAAGAACTCACTTGTAGTAGTTAGAAAAGTTAATTCATGTGGTGACAGGTTACATTTGTTTCTGCCAGTTCTCTATTTAGCTGGAGAGATCCACTTGCAGGGCCTGAATGCTCAGAATTGCTGGGTCCTTGGCTAGAGGGTCTAAGTCCTACAGTGGGTTAAAGGGAAATTTCATTGTCAATGTGTTACACCCACTCCCTTTGCAAATGTTTGAGAAGAGAGCATTGGCTTAAAGCAAAGAGCTTATGGCTTCTGAGGGTTGAGAGCAGAGGTCTTGATTTAAAGAAGTGATGCCATCAGTGTAGGTATTTTGATCTTAGTCAAGTTGTGGATTATTTTTACTTTCGAGTTGCTGTATTGAAATATTTGATTTGTGTTTAATTTTGATTGTGTAGGAAAACTCATCTGGATACAAGGACTTGACTGGGAGTTTTGTAACCATCCTGAAGCAAGTAGTGGGAGGAAAGCTCTCTGCTGACTTCAACTATCACAGTGTGCCAGCACCATGGTTACAAATACAGCTTTTAAGAATTTTGGGGCTGTTGGGAAAAGATGATCCAAGGTAACCAGATTTTTCTCTGTAATTAATAATTTGAAGGTACAAAGAGTACAGTAACAACCTGCACCTCATAGACTGTAAGAGGCTTTCAGTGTCGAAATTCCTGCACATTTGTTTTTAACCAAGACAGTGAACAGATTTATTTCTGCAGAAGTAGTTTCTTAGCTTCTGGATTGTCTAAACAATTGATGGTTGTGGAATATGATTAAAATGTAATTTTACTGGGACTTCTATTACAATGTTACCAAATAATAGTGAAAATCTGGAGTAAAGCTATTTTTAAAAAGTGCTGTCATTTTGTGAGGACTTAGTTGTCTGTTATCTTTTTCCTATTGACCATTTTATTTATGCAAGCAGCAAGGGAAGTGTTTTTTATTCTTATAATATGGAAAATGTTTCTTTTGCAAGCTTCAAGCATCCTGTTAAATGCCATTTAGGATCATGTTACAGAACTCTGCTGTGTTAAAGCAAATTTATGGATATGAATAATGTTTTACAGATTTCAATAACAGCTTTGAACTGTTTGGCAAAATAAGACTACATGCTTATTAGTGCTGCAATTAATTGTAAATATTTTATTAAACAGGACGAGTGAACTGATGTATGATGTTCTAGACGAATCTTTAAGAAGAGCAGAGATTAATCATAACATTACATATGGTGGGTAAGGTTATTTTATGTAATTATCAATATTTGAAAAGTTGAAATAAGCAATAAAAGACAATCCTGCTGATGCATCTGTGTGTTAGAAATGCTTTGATCTTCTCTTCACTGCCCTGAGAAAGGCAACAGTGTGTACAGACAGTGTCAGTTCTTTGCAGCTGTGTAGGGTTTCTCCTCTGGGCACAGTTAATAAACATTGCACCTCCAGAGTTCAGTGACAGTGCTGCCTGTGAAAGGATGTCTTTGGCACATGTCTCAATTGAAAATTTCTAAAACATAGCAGAAGGTTCATTCTGGTAGTATCATTATCTTCTCAGTAGAGAAAGCTACTTTTGTTGCTACTAGAAAGCAAAAGGAATAGTTGGATTGTTAATGTTTTTTCCTACTAAAAAGTTGAGCAGTTTGGTTTTTTTCTTTGTCTTCTTCTCCCCAGGTCTTAATACCTCCCCAAAATACCAGTTCTAATGCTCTAGAACCCTACTTTAAGAGCTGTTTCACTACTAAAAAAACCCACCACTCCAATTTCTTTATTATTAAATAAAGCCCTGCAGATGTGCCAAAGTCCCTGTGCTAATGGAATGGAAAGAAAATTGTGACTCTTAAAACAACAGTGAGGGGTAAAACAAAAAAGGAACATGACCCAAAGCTGTAGATGTCTAACACCTACATCATACATACGTTACAGAGTATCGTGTAAGCTTCATTTCCATAAAAAGGGGACCTTTGGGGAAGTATTTCCTCTTAGTAAATAATAAATGAAGAAACATCTGTCAGATGTTTAGAGTATTCAGCTGATTGCTTCTGTTCTTTTAGGCAAGAACATACAAGTTACTGGGAAATGTGTTGACTTTTAATAAAGACTATCTGCACTTGCCAATTAAATTTGTTTTGAGCACTTAAAGGGACAAAGTGGGCAGTTCATTATGATTTATACAAGGACATAGAATTTAGGTATGTAGTTTGTGTTCACTTATGGCAAGCATTTTATAAAACTATAGTTGATAATCCTAGACAAAAGAAAAATGTAATTCTGAGTGATCTTTTTTATAAAAAGTCACTGGTTATGGCATGTTTCTTGCAGGCAGTTTTGTTGTGCGCTATTTCTCAGATTTAGTTTGTAATGGCTAAGGAAGAGAGGGGGTTGTCTATTGGACAGTTCAGTTAGTGACTGAATTACAAGAACAACTGAAAATTACATCATGATTTTAAGCCCTAATTAACTTGGGAGCATGACTTGGTCTGAATCTTTGCCCAAATTGTTGCCATAAAGGAGTAATTGTTTTTGTATATTGTTCAGTTTACTTTTAGATTTTTCTCAAACTGTACAAAGCTGTTGGGTTTTTTTCTGGTTTTGTGTTTTGAATTTTTTTTTTCCTCAAGAATGATCTTGGGATGAATTTGGCTGTTGGTAGTAGCCAATAAATGTTATGAGTTATCAAAAATAATTTGTCTCAAATCCTTTATAGTTGCTTGTTGGCTTTCTGAAGACTGTCCCAGTCCAGTGCCTTGAGCAGCTGTAGGAGACTTCAAGGTTTGAAGAACTTTAAGGACAGAAAGTTGTATGCACAGTGACAGGGGCTAATTAAAACAAGTATGTACTAAAGGAGATAGACTTTCACCTGCTTTTCCTTATGTCTGATGGTATTCTTTGGTTAGATTTAGTGGGAGTGGGCCAGCAATCCCAGTCCTTCAGGAACACCGAGCTCATTTGTTTGTTAAAAAATTTTGGATTATAGAAGTATTCAATACACATTAATTATGTGTCTTCTCCTCCTGCAGCCATCTTGTTTGAATGTGTCCAAACAATTTATACCATTTATCCCAAATCTGAATTACTTGAAAAGGCTGCCAAGTGCATTGGAAAATTTGTTTTGTCACCCAAAATTAACTTGAAATACTTAGGTAAGGATGCCTGATTTCATTACGCTGTCTTTAATTTGGCCATACTGGTAGCATTGCCTGATATCACTTGCAATCACTTACTTTCCAGGTTTAAAGGCTCTGACCTATGTTATCCAGCAGGATCCAAATCTGGCACTTCAGCACCAGATGACAATAATTGAATGTTTGGACCATCCAGATCCCATTATTAAAAGGGAGGTCAGTGAATTTCTGTATGTCAAAAATTAAGTAAATTATTAAAGTGGGTGTTAAGTTTTGTAAAATGAGTAGTCTAAAAATGTTATGTTTCCATAGTTGTGAGAGAGCAGTTACAGACAGTATTAATGTGACAAGCTGTGTAAATAAGCATTCTATTTCATTTAAGAATGGTTGCTCAATTTGGTGTACTAAAGCTGCTGTTTGTCTGCTTCCTTTTTTGAGTCATCAGAACCAATTAATTTTTTGTGCTTTCTCTTTCAGACTTTAGAGCTTCTCTATAGGATTACAAATGGACAGAATGTAATTGTCATAGTCCAGAAGATGCTTGACTACTTAAAAGAAAGCAAAGAAGAATATGCTATCATCAACTTAGTTGGCAAAATAGCAGAACTAGCTGAGAAATATCCTTTTATTTTTCTGAAACTTTGAAGCCAGAGCTCAGGCACCTGTAGCATTGATACCTATCAAAGCATCTTTCCTGATCTTGTGAAGTAGGAAGTGTTAGAGATGTGCTTTCCATCCTTTCAAATGAAAAGGAAGTATGCAAAAGAAAGCGCATACAAAAATGACTACAGTGTTTCTTATATTTCACTGACAGAAACTAATTGCACACAAATTTTGTCTTTGGAGTTTAGCATTAAAACTTTGTGTTTTAAATTCAAACTTTGAAGCCTTATACTACTGCATGGAGAGAGATGTGTCAGTGCTACTTGAAGTGCTGCTCTGTACCTGTGGGACTGATCTTCTCTGATAGAACTCTTCATTGGTATATGGATTTTAAGAGCAGCACACTTTGAGAGAAATAAAGAAAATATTTTTTAAAAAATGCCATAAAAGATCAAAGTGATGATTAGGGATTTGGCTTATGATGGGGCATAACTGTTAGACCTTCCACTGCCTGATTTCTGTGTGTTTTTGTCTGATAACTTGAGTTGTAAGTTCTTGATAACAGAGAGCTGCCTCATCATCCTGTTTGTGCAGTGCTTGGCATGGAGTGATGTACTAAAAAAAGCTCTTTTGTCCTGCAGCCCTGCAGTATGCAAAAGCTAATGCAATAATACTTAAATTTCTGTACTGTTAAAAATTTCCACACATTAACTGTGTGTTTTCAGGACTTGCCTGAGAGAAAGCAAAAGCCAACTTTCAAAGTTAGCAAAGGCTGATCAGAAGTTAAATATATTAAAAAGAAAACAGTGAGGGTTTCTGTGGAGTGTTTTTGTAAAAGTGTTTTTGTAAAATTTGTAAATCAACAGCAAAGCATTGCTGAAAAGAACTATTTTTTATCATTGATCAAGTGATGCTGATAAACAAATGATTATCTGAAAGCCTAGCACAGGACAAGTGTGAGCTTAAAACAGCATATGACAAATGTGAACATATCTGTTCCTAGTGTGTGAGGCCTGCATAAACTCAGCTTTTTTAACAAAGCAGTAACTTAAGACTTTCCTAACTGAACACCAGTTTTCATGACATTTACAGGAAACACTTTCCAAAAGGTACAGGAATATTTCATCTTTAGTTAGATGTAACTGATATTTGTCCATCGGATTCCCAACTTACTGAGGAGATCACAATGGGCATTCCTTAGGAAATTCCCTAAATAAGAAAGAAAAGTTATGCCTTGGCATTTTGTTCCTTAACATCTGGACACGTATGCCCCTAGCAATGAGTGGTTCATCCAGACAATGAATGCTGTGTTTTCAGTTGGAGGTGATGTTGTGCATTCTGATATCCCAAACAACTTTCTGAGGCTGTTGGCTGAAGGTAACTTCCCACATGCTCTGAAGAATGACATGTTCCTTAATAATCTGTGTTTGTTTTCTTTTCTAAAAACGTACTTTGAAATATTTGGTAGGATATGTTGTGTTTCACAAAAACTGTGCTATTTTCTGTCTAGGGTTTGATGATGGAAAAGAAGATTACCAGCTACGGATGTATGCAGTACAGTCTTATTTAGCATTACTTGAGGAGGAAGATAAATTATATCCACAGAAATTCCTTCAAGTTATGAGTTGGGTAAGGTAGACACATGGTCAGAATTCCATACACAGATTTGAGGAAGCTGTCAAAGGTGATAATGTTTTTAATAAATATTTATTAAACTTTAATTTTTAGTCATTCTTACTTGAAGTCCAGCTGACATGCTGAAATCTATTTTAGTGACCTCTTTGGTGAGGACTATGAACTTGTGGTCTGTGGAAAAGCTGACTTGCTCCCTTTAAGGCAGGTGGATGTTGGAATGGCTTAGCAGGCACCTGAATCTAACTGCATACCGAGAGCCTTTCTGTCTCCATCCAAATAAGCCAGATGTGGTTGTGAGCAGCTCTTGTAGCTCTCCAAATGACTGGCCAAGTGCTGTGCTGATGCCTGGGGAAGCTTCAGCTGCCACCCAAGGGAGAGGCTGCAGTTTGAGGAAATGGTGTTTTGTCAGGGCCTAGTTATGTTTAGCTTTCTTTTCAAGACAGTCATTTGATTTTTAAAAGGCCAAAAGTTGGAGTGTGAGGTAAATACAAAGGTCACTTCAACCCTTTGACATATAAAACACAACATGGTAAAGAAATAACTTGGAATATGTTTAAGTAATAGTTTCTTGAATATGAACTGGATTTTATTGTCTTGTTATTTAGTACTATATTGTAATTTCAAAACTGAAAGCAATGCTCTAAATGTGTATTTTGTCTGTTCTTTGTGCATAGGTGTTGGGAGAATATTTCAGTCTTGTTACAGATGTTGATCCAGAAGTTATTTTGATAAAACTGCACAGCCTGCTGAAAAAGACTTTTGTTACATCTGAAACTAAAGCGTGGATAATGGCTGCAGTCACCAAGATAGCATCACACACCTCCTGCTCGAAAACAGTGGATGAACTAATCCAAGAATTCAGCAGCTCTCTGGATACATGCCTGAGACAATATGCCTTTGAATTGAAGCATCTGTGTGAAGACAAAGCACTGATGAAAAGCTTGCTTCCATTTGATGCTAGTTGCAATGACCTGGTGGTAAGACACATGCCATGTGTGTTTTTCATGAACCTCTTTGTAGTTCAGGGGGATGATTGTTTTGGTGAAAAGGTGTTCTCAAAATTAATGGGGTTTGCAGTTCTTACTGGGTGCAAGTCTGTGTAAAGTGAGTTTTCAGAAACACTTTTTCAGACACGGTGTTCTGTACTGAAAGATAAAGAACCATGGTGTTTTAGTTAAGCTGGAGTAGCTTTTAGCAAAATTATCATATAATACACTAGTTTATTTTTAGTAGTCTTTTGTTTTTTCAAAGATGAGTTAGGCCTGCTTTAGTGATACAGTCCAGCTTTTAAATTCAAAGGGTTTTCCTCCTATTTAAAAACTACTGATTTTGACCATGAAATTTCAACAGTAAAGGATGGAAAAAATTCTGTCCATATAGCATCTTAATTGGTAGCTATTGGAGATGTGAAGACCCTGATTTGCTGATAAGACACAATATTCTTCTGGTAACATCAGGCTCACATAGAACAAATATTTTCTCTGCCTTTTCATTCTTTTCAATTCTATGTAGGTAGATGCTTCCTTATCTTTTCTGGATGGGTTTGTGGCTGAGGGACTTGGTCATGGTGCAGCACCATATAAGCCTCATCACCAGAGACAAGAGGAGAAACTTTCTCAGGAAAAAGGTGATGGTTTACTGCATTTATTTAATACTGGTAAATTACCTGATAAGTATGGACAAATTAAGTGTACAGTTAATTTATCTTCTTAAAATAGTAGTATCTTAATGCAGCTCTTGTTTGTACACAAGAGCTAAGTTCAACTTAAATTTTAGTTCTACCTCTGTGTAGTTGATGTATATAGATTGTTGTTCTGCAGGTGAGAAAGTCTTACTGTAATCATTGCTGGTCTGTATTTGATTTGAAATTTACAGGGATTATTAAAGTGAAAGCCTGAGGAGTGCAGCAGTACAGGGATATCTATTTTCAGAAAACAGATTTCATTCTTACTTTTTTTATGCCTGCTTGTAATTTTAAAATTGTCTGTCTTGCAGCTCTGAATTTTGAACCTTATGGATTGTCCTTTGCTTCAAGTGTGTCCTCATCCGGTGTCACAGGCAGACAGTCCCCCACTGGTTTATCTTTTGGCTCTGATACATCTGGGAATAGTGCTGAGATGGGGCACAAAGAGTGAGTTAATTTGTGTTTGAAGTGAACATTTAAGCTTCTGTTCTTGTCAGAACAGAACATGGGTCTTTGTTGCTTCATTGCATGAAACTAAAAAGAATGCAGTTGAATTTGGAAACCTCTATCACATAAGAAGAAAATCAGGTGATGGCATCTGTATAGTAACTAGGGAAACAACTGATGTGGCCCGACTCTTCTTCCACTTTCTTCACAGACTGCAGCTTAGGGGATAGTTAATGCAGTAAAATTGAGACAAGATTGCCTGATGATTACATTGTTTATTATTTTCCCTGCTTTCTTTTTCTAAAAGATAAAAGTGTAACGTTGCTCCTTTTATTTTTAGTGCACTACACGTTAATTCCATATCGACGTTTCATACAAATTAATAATTTCATTTATACTCTGCTAAACTGGTATGCAGGAAACCTTTCCATAATCCTTATATTTTACGAGCATAAATATCATCTATCAAAGTACCAAAGTAGTGAATGGTGTTTGAGTGTTGGCATGTTTTTATGAACATGTTCATATGGCTGATCCTGCTTTGTTTTGTTTGCCTTTTTAGGGCAAATACTCTGAAACTTGAGGGAGTACGCAAGCTGTGGGGAAAAGAAGGTTACCTTCCAAAGAAAGAAAACAAAGTAGGGAAAGGAAATGAGCCAGAAGCAGCGCCCTGTGGCAGCTTATCAGCAGGGCAGGTGGGGGAGCCTCCTGCATTGCAGCCTGATCAAGGTGCCAGCCTGTCTGAGGAAGACAAAGAGAAGCAGCAGTTGGCATCAACTTTGTTTGTTGGGCTGGGATCAAGTGCTGGTGTCAGCCTGGTAAGTGATTCTTTTGAGACTTAACAGTTTAAAGTTTACATATGGTCTTTAAAATAACAGATACTTTTATGCAAATGGAGATCAAATTAGTGATAAGACAAGCCCCCCCCAAGTCATTGAAAAACTATTGAGAATTACTTTTGCAGTGTGATGTTTTATTGAAACCTGAAACAGCTTGATGAAGCAACCTGTGGGGCACATCTGGTTTGGTAACTAGAACTTTTCTCTGTTTACATGTTCTGCTCCAAGTTTTAGTGTCAGTTTTCCTGAACAACTCTTCCTTGGCCCAGCCTTGCAGAGCTGTCACCATTCATTTGGATGTAAGGCTAGAACTGACACCCTATGGCAAGACCGTTTTATAATTTATGTTTGGTAGTATGTGGAACATAAAATAATTGACTATGAGGTAGTATTTTTAAGACTGGCGTCATATTAGCCAGCTCAAATCTTAGCACTGGTTAACTGGAAACTATCTTTGCTTAATCTTTAATAAGAGCTCTTAGTTTAAGAGAATCTAGAGTCATTCTTGCATTATAAGCTAATTTAGTACTCTTGTAAGAGATACAGCAGACCCCTGGACCCATTAAAATGTTGGGAATCTTTGTATTTGTCATCTGTTTTGATTCCTTGGTCCTTCCTCACTGTTGCATGCTATTAACAGTAGCACAGCTGGTTGCTAGGAACTTGTCCACCTTTTTTTTTTCTCTTTCCTTTGTAGATGGGCAAAGCAGACACAGCTACTCAGAAGTTCAAAAGGAAATCAAAGATAAATGAAACTCAGCAGTTGAATGAGGAGGCATCAGACTTCCAAAACAGTGCTGCTTCAGATTTTGGTCCCTTACTTGATACAGTACCTACTAATATGGAAGTCTCTGAAGGAAGTACGCACACAAGTTTAAGGAAAACCTCTCCTTGTTCTTCAGATATTGTAGAAGACAATTTAGCATTTGAAACACCTCAGTCCCTCAGAAAATCTGTGCTGGATGACAGACTTTCAGCTAACAGGCTGTCACAGTCATCTTTATTTGCTGATAGTAATATTGAAATTTTTCAGCCTTCTCCAAGTGCTCAATGTGAAAGTGCCAGTGAAACACCATTGGTCCCTTCCTTATCAGAGGAACTTGAAGAGCTTCCTCACTCTGAAGTAGTGGGACTTGGTCAGAGTGATACCTTAGCTCTGCATTTATGTAAGGTGTGGAGAGATGACTCTCTGTTGCTCATTATTTTTGTTTCAAATAAAACCCCTTCTGCACTTCATGCTGTGAACTTAGTGTTTGAAGAGACAGAACACTTTCAGGTAAGAAACTTTGTTTCCATTGTATTTTAAATTCACTTGAACTTCTTGCTTTTTGCTTGCATTTAACTGTGCAGTGTTTGGTTTAATGGGATAGCCATGCCTTTTTCCAAAGTATTTCCTTAAAACCTATGGTGCAGCTGTTACACATATTTTTAAAAGGAGGTGAAAGAAATCTTATCATAAACTTACAGTCATTGGCTATAAAAGTTAGCCTCTCACTTTTTCAATTCACCTTGGTTTTGTTTGCCTCTGTAAAACGAGTATGTGTGATTTTTCCATTCTGAATGCAAAGACTAAGCCAAGTGGAAACCTCTCTGGTCCTGCTTGGAGTGGTAAGACTTGAGTTCACTTCAGTGTGTATCTTTCTTTTGTCTGGGTGTGACTATTGTGCTTGTGCATTCATTTGTATTTACCTGATAAGCAGATGTGATGCTTTCCTGACACCAAATTTGTGTAAGCTTCTTTCAATTAAAAAAAAAAAAAGTGAATGAACCAGTCATGATTCACTGTCTTGCATTTAGTTGAGGTTGCAGAGGAGTTGATCAGTTTATTTTTTTACATTGGCTACATTAGGGATTTAAATATGATTGGTAAAAGCATGTTAGTCATAACTAAAACTTCATTTAAATATTTGGAAACATACTTAGGATTTGCCAATTGGTATGACTATCCGCAGACTATGCTAAAAGAAGCACAGAATTATTATACAACTCAGCAAGTGATAATTGGATAAAAAGAATTAAGCAGATTGTTTATTTTAGAATTGACTTAACCAATTAGCAGTTCCTTGATTATGGAGTCCTTTTCCTTTCCATTTCTGACTTGAATCAAACTTGTCTTGCCATTGATAGAGTGTGACCATCTCCTGTCTAGATTTTTACTGTAATTCACTTAAATTCCCACCCAGACCACCACCACAGATAGAATTTCTGTTGCCAGTTTATTTGGAGAGCCAGGTACTGCTGAGTAATCTAGAAATCTTCCTTTTTATTATGGATGTTTTCTCAACTTCTTGTTTTTAGTGTATAGCTTGAGGTATGTTGTGATGCTTCTTGTGTATTAGTTTATGCTGGGACTGTGCTACAGAATTCAGGTTCTTGGTGCTGTTCTTTGGAGCTGGGAGAAGCCAGTTGTCAGAGATCAATTTCACTGGTGCTATGCATCTCATAGAATGTTTGTAGGTGTTAATGATGGATTTATCCTTCATGAGGGCTGAGAAATGGTAGCGCTGTTCACTTGTCAAACACTCCAGGAAACATCAACAGAAATAAAAGGCACTTACACAGTTTTATAGCTGTATCTGAATCACTTGCACAGCTTGACAGCAAGACTTATATTCTTTATTCCTTTTATGATATTATATAGATTTTGGAAAGTGCCACCTCCCAGTTTCCTGTAATTGAAGCTGAAAGCGTGGAACATTGCCAGAAATGCGTGAGGATGATCAAAGTCTGTACACAGGCAATTCTTCCTGGCTCTGTTGGTTACCAGTCAGAGATGGAAACTTGCCTTCAATTTTCAGTTACTTTATCATTGATGGACTTCATCAGGTAAATAAAATAAGCTGCAGTTTTTAAAAACACTTGAATTCAGCTCAGTATTAGACAAGGGTAGGATGATTTGGGTATTGACTAAGAAAATACAAAGCTTCACCTTAAAATCTGAGATGGCTTGTAAAGATAATAAAGGGTTATTTTACACTTGCAAAAATGGGGTAAAGTTCCAGCAAGGAGTACAAATGCAGGGAGAATGTTGACAGTAACTGTTTTTGAGGAGGCTAACAGAACAGAGAACAGAAGGACATGATGCTTTAAAACATGGCATAATGTAAACATGTCAAGAGGAAACAAGTGTTTTGAGTGCAGAGATGAGAACATTGTATGAAAAGGTTGACAGCTTTTGCAGAGAAAGAAGAAAGCTCATTCTTTTCGTTTTTGAACACTGCATTTATTTTAGGAGTAGGAAAAAACAAGTGTCATTTGTCCAACAGACTTTTCTTTTGAAGTGAAATCTGATTTTTCTTTTTAATTTAGAAATATAAAGCAAGGAATAGAACTATTTTTTAAATGTTATGCTGGAAAGAGGAGTGGTTTGATTAGACTAATATGTATTTATTTATTGTGTGCTCTATTGTCCAGTTGCCTCCATATGCAGGGGTTTTTTTTTAAGACTAAAGATATTCTGATTTATATATATATTATTTGGCTAAGAAATGTGGTGAACTTCCTTTTAGGCCAATGGAAATGACTACAGAAGACTTTGGGAAGCTATGGTTGTCCCTTTCCAATGATGTGAAACAGAATATAAAAATGTCATCTTGCCAAGATTCCCTTTCAGCAGCCCTGGATACACTGCAACAGAAGCTGAAACTCCACAGAGTTGACATTATAGGTAAGAGAAAGTATGTGTAGGGTTGCTCACAGGATAATTTGTCCCAGGAAAACAAGTGTATAGAAGAGAGTATCTTACAGGTTAAGGCAGGGAGTGTTTGGGAGCATGGTAAACAAGGGACTGGTGTGCCATGGACTTTGTTTGCTTCACTCAGGGGATCTGTGGGAAGGTGATGTAAAGGTACAAGTGTTCAGCAAACAGTGGATTTTACAAGGAAGGAAACTTGCACTGTGAAGAGTTTTGGGTAAGACAAAAAGGGAATGAAGCTGTATGACAAATACAAAGCTGGTATTTTGACATGATTTGTGGTGATGTGTTCCATGAGTTAGAGGTGAGAGCAGGGGGAAACAGCACACATGGAGTGTGAAAGATGCATTTTCTGTGAAGTCTGCTATAGCAGTTGTTACTTGCTAACTGTTAGTTCATTTCTTCCTGTGGTCTCTTAGGTAATGAGGGAATCCTGGCCTGCCAGCTCCTCCCGTCTGTGCCCTGTTTGCTGCACTGCCGTACGCACTCAGGGCTGCTGGCCCTGTGGTTCAGATCCCCTTGTGCTGCTCTTCCAGATGGTTTGCTCTATCAGTGTCAGAAGGTGATGGAGGAATCCTAAGAACAATAGTGCCTGCCTTAATCTATTTGGTGTGTGAAAGCAAATCACAGATTTATGCAGTTGCACAGATAATTACCAAAGCTAAACTAAGATACTGCTTCTTCAAGTATTAAAAGTTTCCTTCCAGCTGGCAATGTCCAAGTGGACTTGTGGGGGAAAACTGGTGACCTGAATTACCCCTACAAAAACATACTCAGGACTGTACAGTACATTAAAGTATTGTTACCTGTGTAAGTGAAATGTATATTAATTTTGTTGTAAATGACTGAAAGTATTTATTTTTATTACACAGCTTTTATAGATGCCAACACTTATTCTTCATGGCAACTACCTAAATATGATTTTGAAGAAAACATATTTCCATTATGAAGTCAGACTTGATCAGTTATCTAATTTTATTTTGATAATTTTTCTAAAACTATTTTTAAGCACTGCTGGCAACAAGACCCATATTGGTGGTTATATAAAATAATTTATGTAGCAACAAATGCATGGTTTTGAAACAGTTAAAAGATTCTAGGGAGCAAAACACTTCCCAGGATCTTTGATATTCATGGAAGGGATAACATCTAAATAGGTTTTTGATAGGAGTCAGGCATGTGAAATTGTTTGGAAGCACCTCCTGGGGAATGTCTGAAGCCTTCAGATTAGTTCCTGTCTGCAGTTCTTCCTGCCCCATATTTTGGTCTCATTCCCTTTGCACAGGTGTCTGACAGTCATTGAGTATTTGTGCATGTCTAAGATGAAGTTCTATGTGGATCAAGTGTGAGGTGACTGAGCTGTGGGTGCTTGGCTGTGGACATGTTGACTCCTTGATTGTTGGGTAGTGAACATGTTATGTTCATTGCTTTCCAGTCCACTCTATAAATTTAATCTGGCCAAAGTCCTTGTGCATGAAAATTCACAAGGGGAAAACTTCCATTTATTTTTACTTCTAATTATTTATAGCCTCAGTGTGACTCATCAAACCTCTGATTTGCAGAGATGTGGCTGTGTTGTGTGTGCATGGCTGGGAACTGCAGCAAGGATTAAATCAGAGCAGCAAACGTGGAAAATGTGTCTGAGCAGATTGTCTCCTCTTCCTGAGGTAACCTCACAATCTTGAAAATCCAGCAATCTTAATTTATTTAGATGCTAAATGAAAAATAGTACTGGTTAGTATTATTTATAGCTGGTCATGTTTTCTATTTAAGCATCCCAGATTGTACACACAGTTCAGACATGGTATAAAGGGATTTTGTGGTGGAATTCTCTCCTTCATGTGTTAATTAGTAGCAAGGAGACTCTTCTATTTCAGCATTACTGATTCTCACCTGATAAGCACTGGTTGTAAAGGAAAATAAAGTATTCTTTTACTTTGCTGATGTTTTGGTAAATGTTCATGAAATTGTTGTAAGAATGTTAATGTGCTGATAGCAAGTTTTTTTTATGTCAAGCTACTTGTGTTATCACAAGTATAATCATCCAAGCAAAGTTCTTTTTTTATTGTTTCAGTACCCTCTTACTGAGGAATTTAAAGTGCACTGAACCTGTAAATATATTTAATGTTCTGCATACCTTAATGTTTACTTGGCACTTCGAGACAGTTTATATAAATGAAAACTGATTTAGAGTGGAATAATTTCCAGCAGATGATTTCCCTGCTGGTTAATCAGACTTGTGTTATGCAATTGGACTTCTGTAATCATAGGAACTCTAATACAAATATATGTTTGTGGCCTATGCATTTAAACCATTTCAGCAAGGAGATGTTCAGTGTCCTGGTGTTTAAAGAACTGCAAAGACAACAATGCCTTCTGTTGTTAATGTAATGTTCTCTGTAACCTTTTTCACTGTATGAATAGTGTATGTTAAGGTGTCAGTATTCTGATTCTAATTGCTTTATGGTAACATCACTTAAGAAGTTTGCAGGGAATTGTACCCGTGTCAGTCTTTATTTTTGGATTGCCCAGCAAATACTGTTCTGAATCTGTCACCATATTTGCATTTCTTGCAGTTTAATAAAATCCAGTTTTATTTAGAAAAATCAGTTTGATACTTGTTAAATGTTCTTTTCCATCACATATTGCAGTGTTTCTGCCTATTAAGAACTACTTTCTATTTTAATTGTTTCTCTTTGCATCTGAACAGTGATAAAAGACTGTAACATTACAGAAGTCTTGAATCCATTAATAATTTAAATGTCCTGTTTCTCAGCTGGAGGTATCAAAACAGTGAAGGACTACACTTCTTAAGCAGCATTGTGTGCCAGCTCACATTATCCAATCCTTTCTTTGGAATATTGCCAGAGTGTGATTTTGTTTTTAGGCATCAGAGGACATTTCATTATCTTTTGTTATTCACAGCTGACAGGAATAGCATATTTTTAAGTTCAGTGCAAGCATAAGCCATTGCTGTGGAGTTGGGAGCTTGGGAAGTGTGACAGTGGCTGCATGGAAGGTGGTTGCAGGCCTGAGCTGAGCCAGGAGGTTGTTTGGTGTAACAAAGCTGTCACTGTGTACCAGGAATCCTGGCTGGGTGGGAGCTCAGGCCCTGGAAAGCCTCAGCTTTTCAGTGCTGGCAATCCTGATCTTGATCTAGCATCCAGAAACAGAGCTGCAGAGGTAACTCTGCAAAGGAATGTTATTCCATCTAGTTCTGTATTGAAACTTACGTTATGAGTATCCTCATATTCCATAGTGGATATCCATATTCCACAATTACTTTTCTTTGTGATTTGGTCAATTTTGAAGGATGAGCCTGTTTTCCAGGAAGAGAAATAAGGTGCAGAGAAGCAGGCTGGAAGGAGGAGAGCACATAACCAGTTTACATGAAGGAGCTGGCTCAAGAGGCAGCCAGAGGCCAGTCAGTCTATGGTGAGTGTGCTGAACTGGCAGGTGAACAGAGACTGGACCAAACCCTTAGGTACCAGGAGACCTCACTGTTCTACTGCTGTGTGCCCTGTGAGTTCTGGACATTTGGGAGTCAGCAGGGAAGTGATTGTATTGGATCCAGATTTCAACTGTTTTGTCAGCTTCTACCTCCTTACCCAAGTATTTTCAGGTATTCTTATTAAAACAAACACTTTGGGAGGAAAACTGGAAGAAGTGCAACATGGCAATATAAGGCAGGACATTTTCTTAGATGCATACTAAATCTGTTGGACTTTCTGCTAAGTATTCCCAAATCCTCCTCATTCTGTAAGGTCCCAAAAGAGTAAATTCGTGTAATGGATGGCGCTATCTTGAGGTCTTCCTGTACTTGCACGTAGCTCATAAATGACATTGATGGTTTCTAAGTACCAGAAAAATATTTCTCTATTCCTATAGAGTCCCACGGGTAGTTTTTCAGCATAAAAAGCTGAATTATCTTTTTCTGTGTGGGCAAGACTGTGCATGGTCTTTTTCTGGATTTATGTAAAAACAAAAATAGACCTGCTTAAGTCATCCACTTAAAACCTGCTTTTCTGTTGCTGTGGTGAAACTTAATTGTGCTTTGTTGCTTGGTTCTCTTCAGGGCCAGCTATTTATGTTCCTGTCTCTGAGAAGGTTTCTGTAGCACAAATCAGATCACATGTTCAGTATGATGTGCAGCTCTGTGGCACAGGCACCATTTCATTAACATGTCAGAAGTGGTCACTCCCATGAGAGTTTCTTGAACATTAACATTCTTGTATTTAATTATAGAAAGTTGGCAGCGATGAAGGAAAGAATATTGTGTCCTGCCATGATACGATTCATAAAAGTAACCTGACAGCAATGTTTTACCAGCAGGAAAGTTCAAAATACCACTTAAGGAGATTGCTTTAAACTTTGATTTTAAGGTAGCTGACAGTTTTCTCTTTGTGCCAATATTTCATTGCTTTCAGTATAATTGTCATGTGAGTTGTTTGCAAATCCTGAGCTCTTTCAGCCAAAACAGTTTGCCTTTTCTGGGAATAAGGACAGGAGAATAAATGCTTGCTGTTAAAATGTTCTGGTAGGTTCCAGCATCTCCATGTTTAGGACAGGCCTGTGAAATCTGTCAGGAATGTGTCTTCCATCTACCTTAAATCACATCAAGCTAAACTGAGCTGAATTCATCATGGGAAACGTGCAAGAAAGTCCTTGGAAGAGTGAGATTTTGGCTTGTGGTATCTGCCCTTTTGCTGCTGACATGTGCTTGTGATACAATGGAGGTGGTAGGATAAATAAATCTAAAGGAAACAAAAAGGGCAGTAATCACACATTTTTAATCCACAAATGTGATAATACATAATATATTTAAGGTGACCTGAACATTGCCCATATTTTAGCAATGTTGTTACATACCAAGCTACAAGTACAAAAGTAAACAATGAATATACAGGATATGCAAGTATGAGAAATACTTGAAAACATATCTTTCCTTAAGGCTACTCAGATTATTTTTAAATAAAACAACAGATGTTCAGCTGGTGTGTTTAAAATACCAGAATCTGAATATTGATACTTGAAACACACAAAAAATCACAAATACAGAATATCCCTTTCCTTTAGACATCTTGAATGTTGAATAATTTTTTCTGGCTTTAAAAGAAGAACTTAAATTTGTTTGCCACAAATGAAACACACAAAATCTGACATGTGCACCGGGACAGGAGCGTTGGATACAAGAAATACTGTTCAAAAGCATCAGTTGACAAGTACATGCCTGGAAGAAATGCAGGTAATGATGCAGGTAAATATGGCTCTGCAACTGGCTGCTTGCAACCCCAAATGTTGCTGTCTCATTTCTGTGTTGCAAAGGAGTTTTCCATTTTCATTTTGACTAAATCTACTTTTAATGGCTAAAGAAAATATGTAGGAAAAATTTACACCTTTAAAAACTGTTCTGCCAATGTCTCATTTTTACTGTGCTTCAAATGAGTTCTCCTGGGAACAGGTAAAAATCCACCTAGGACAACCCAAGTGAATACATGACCTGGGTATGTGTATTCTTACCTGTATAAAGGTATGACAGTAAAAACTGTTGCAAGAGATAAAATATAGTTATTCTGGGGTGAGGAAAGACAGAAGGATAATAATTTTGAACAGTTTTCTCTTAATACTGTAGTATTCAAGAATTTATTTAAATGAGAAACATTTTTTTTTCTTTTCCTAAAGTAATGAGTGATCAACGTGTAAGCTTCCCTTAGAGAGGAATGGCTTTAAAATATATTTTCTTGTCTTTGTCAGCTTTCAGATACATGCATCTCTCTGTTATAGCATACATGATATGGAAGGTATTACCCCCAGATGATGGCACTGTCTGCTCTCTGTGTCAGCTGAAAGGAGAGGGCTCCTGATACTGCAGTGTCAGGAGATAGAGATGACTCTGGAGGATAAGATGGAGAGGACAAGAAGAGAGATTTCTGAACATGTGTTTTTCACTCTGGGTCAGTCTGTACCTACCCAGGTTCTGCAAGTGGCAGGCAGAGAATCCACTCTACTCCCACACTCCCTGTGTCCAGCCAAGACTGTACAAAACCCACTCCTTCTTGGCAGAATGTTTTCATTTGAAGACATCACTATATTTTGTTTCAAAAAACCCTGGAAAATTCACTGAAAACATTCTGAGCAAAACCTCACTCCAGAAACTCACCAGAGTCACTAAGGCTGTTCTCTTTTGACTACTGTGGATATGCTACACTTGGAGGCACTGCACCAATAGTGGATGGGGTTCCTTTGTATCCCACCTCTGATTTACTGTAGGCACAAATGTCATGGGTACATTAAACCAAGAGTATTATCTAGGCTGAGTATTTTGAGGATCAGGGATGTAAATGTTGGTGTCTCAGGTGTGCTGCTCCTCACAAGGGCAATTTCAAAATCTTCACAGAGTGTTTTGTTCTGTCAGGCAGAACAGTAAGAGCAGCACAACCTTCAGTCTGAACTCACCTGATGCTACCCAACACACACGCCCTGAGAGCGGGGGAACTGCTGTACTACTTTATCTACCTTTGAGCTTGAACCACTGAGCTGCTTTTCAAATTCAATTTGTTGTTAGCAGGTATAAAACTAAACTGATGGTACTGTTGCTTCATAGAGCAGCTATTTAGATTTTCTCCCGCTTCAGTTTGTATGATTTGTTACTCTCTTAATAGATTTATACACCGTGTAAAATCAGAGATGTTTTCTCATATTGATTCCTGATCCTTTTGAAAGGAGTGAACTTAATCCATTACAGCCCTACTTTCTGTAAAAGCTTTTTCAGTTAGCATGGAAATAATAAAAATATATGCACCAAGGGCTTTGGGGGTAAATTCCATGCATTGCTCTTGCCTTCATCTGTCTATCTTTACGTAGCCATGCATCTGAGTTTACTTTCTGTTCACATGTTCAGCCTTGAACACAAAGCTAGCACGATCATGGTGAATAGCAATCTGTGTCTGAACAATATACATCAGCAGCCTTGTTCACTGTGCTCCTTGAAAAAGACTGAATTATCGGAACAAAACATTGAAATCGGTAGCTTTCTGATTTAAGTTTTCCACTTCATCATGGGCCTGGTGAGCACCTTCTGGGCCCTGCTGGGGACTGTAGTAAGACTGATGGGAAGGAAGCTTGCTTGCCTACCATGGCTTATGAAGGGTGGCCAGTTCTAGAGAGAGGATTTTGGTCGGTTTCTTGCCTTGAGCGCACTTTCAAAGAACCTTCTCATCGAGTAGTTTGTTGATGCCATTGCAGATCTTTTTGAGGTATGGCCGACAATCCCCATCCAGGCTGTACAGGGCAGACAGAAACTCCACATCTGCAAAGTGGTTGAAGACGTGGTTGATGCGCCCGTGGGACCGCGCTGTCAGGTGTCGCCCTACGAGTTCGTGCACGAGGTCTTTGCACTCATTCAGCAGTTCTGCGAGCACATTCCTGTCAAAAGTGTACTCCACCTCGTAGAAGCTGACGATTGTCATGGCAGTTTGGTTCAGCTTCTTCCTGAACTTGTCTACGATCTCCAGCTCTTCCTGGTTGAACTGATTATTTCGATAGAGGA